ATGATTATTAAACTATTCCAGTATTTCTAATTCTATGTCCTTACCAGTAAAGAACAAATTTTAAAGGTCTTCTCGGTAAAAGAGCCGCCTTTATTGATCTATTTTAATAATCACGTGTAAAAGTTTGGAAGTTTTACGCTAAAGTTCTTGGATAGGTTATATAGTTATATTAATACCTACACTAATTTTCTTCCCAGTGATAAAATGTTGCAGGGGAAGTAAACTTATTTTTAAAAGATTGTGAATATCCATTATAGTCCCATAAGCAACCGTAATTAATGAGATCCATTATTTTGTATTAGCATTGCTTCTGATACTTCTGTATTAAAAGAAAGCCCATACGAGCGAAGCAATTTCAGATTCCTATTTCGTTTATAGCATCGTATTGTGGCTTTAAATTCAAACTTGCATTTAAACATTAAAAATCCTGATTTAAATATTATTCCAGAAATAAGGTAGGCATTCTGTAGTATTCGTACTTCTCATTGCTAGACTAAATATGTACAAACTTGTCTAAAAATTCTGCCATGCGCTATGGCAGTAATTTGTTTTGCACATAGAGGGCGAGTAAAAAATTATATACAGTAAAAAGCATCAACTTTGTAGTACAATCTATATTGATACAATGAAAAACGGAGACAATCTCTTGGGCAGGAGTCTTGCAAACAGTACGAATTTTTCAGAAATGAAAAGTAAAGAATCTATTGAATTTGGTAGTAACTCACCTTAAAACTATACTGCCAGATGGTGAATGCCAGATCAAAGCAGAGTGAAAAGATGTCCTTTCATATATATTTTTAAATCCACCATAGAAACCTCATTACTCTATAAAACATGTGCGAACATTCTTGGTCAGGCTCCATTTTTAACTCTTCCATATTTGAAGGGCCAGAGAAAAATGGAGTACCATGAGCCTTAGATGCCGCTTTCTTTTTAAACGTGTCTTTTTACATGATTCTCGAATCACATACCTAGATAGTCATTTGATAACACATATAAAATAGTTTTACTCGTCATTTTTCTCCCCTGTCCTTCAACAGGAGCAAAGTCAGGAAATGAGGCACAAAACTTCTCTGGGAATGAGGAAAAGAAAACGACTTTACAGAAACATCCTGGAAAAGTCAAGTAAGTTAAAATATGCTTTTTTTTTCAGTTCAAAGGAGACAATTTTTTCAGCTTAGTGTTTAACGTACTAGCATAAACACAAACCAGTGACACAACACCCCACCAGCAGCTGCCTAATCCTGCTCAATGCCTATTCATTTGGAGGTTCTAGAATTAATATTTGACGACTCTCTCATTGAAACAACAACCCCTGACCCTATGTGATTGCACTGTCACATTATTCTATGACATATTCATCTTGAATTCATTTACGGGCGATTTGATTGGAATGAGGTTTGACATGTATTGGATCCTATTAAAGAAGAAGACTTTGATCTTGTTGATGGGGTTTACATGATATGTATCATCTTTACCAGGGATAGCCGGCTTGCACAATGTGGTGGCTACCAAGCTTTAAGGAGTTAGTGACTGACATCTTATCTGACAGGAATACCTTAATCTTGAGGTATTGAATGATATATTCTATTTAAACTAAGCATATGATTTGGTTTACCTTGGGTACCTCTAGTTTCTAAAATGTGGGAAACATCCGAATACCTAAAGTGCCTTCACTTTCCCCTTTAGCTTCTGCATTTTCCATACACTCTAGAACGCCCTGAAGCAAACTGATCTGACTAAAAGAAAATAAAAAATAACTAATAACAAAAGAGAAATCTATTCGAATTTCATGACATTTCCTTTCCCCTTGGAAAATTTCCTGTAGCAACTTCTCTCTAAATTCTCAAGTTGACATTGTATCCAAATATTATTTTGCTGCTGTTATGTATATCCGTTGCCTCAGATCTTAGTTGTAATGATTATTATTTCATGTCGGTCTTAAGACTCAGCATACTTGTGATATGTGTAGCCCCAAATCCGAGTTTAACGATCAAGAAAGAGGTTAATATGAATCTTCGGCAAATTCCGCTAGTTGTTCTGGACTTTTCCGTTTCCATAGCAAATATTGCAATTAAGATTAACAAAACAGGATTAACCATAATTTTCACTGATAAAGCCTAACATTTAAAATCTTCAGGTAAAATTTAATTAGGTTAAATCCACGTTTTACCTAATAGTACTCATGTCAGAAAGGTTGCCCCTTCGAATACTGACGCATTTAACAATTAGTAAGACACACTCTATATAGAACTAAGTGAAAAGTTTCAGATACCTCAAGTGTGAACAAATATTGGTGATCCACCAAAAAACAACTGACAGTCAGAATCTGTTCAGCTAGGGCTATCCAATCGCCACTGAAGAGGACAGTAGAAAGCCAACATGATTGGCCCTACCAAATGTGAGAACCGAATTTGGCCCCAAGGGAGAGAATATAGTATAACTGCCCACCTTTTTTATGTGGTAGAGCTGACATGCAAGTCAAGGAGAGTGTTTGGCAATTCGCATTTATCATGAATAATGCTAGATTTACTAGAAAACGAAGTAGGAATATACGGAAATTAAAATAGAGCGGAGTTATAAATCTATTATTATCAAGACGATCTGACCATAAATAATGTATACTGTTGCATCGATTCCTGTTTTTATTCAAACCAATGTACAGGAAATTTTAGCTTCTACAGTAGTTAGATTGTGGCAATTGAGTGAGTGGGAAGGGATGAGGTTTTTTTTTTCTTCTCTTTATTGTCTTGATTGCACGAAACATGGAGGCTAAACTGATTCCTGGGAAAGAAATTCAGCAAGCCAAAATTTGGGGGATAAGTAGGCTTGGAAATCGTGACCGTATTTGATTTTGCTAAAGGTGGTGAGGGCCAGGCACAGATGGGAGAAGCACACAAAACAATGCACGTATGCAATTATTTTTATATTTGTATAACTATAAAAGAAAAAACAGTATTTAGTTCAACTTTCGCAGCTGATTCCCACTATGTTATATTCGATATGCTCTACGTGTATATTTCCCCCAAACTGTGCTCCAGTTTATTTAGGCTTTGACTTGTATTAATCATGCATCACTCCTAGTGTCTGAGGTAAGGGATGTTTTTGGCATATGTGTTGGAAATAAGGGATGTTGGAGGTAGTGCCGTATCCCTCGCTTAAAGTGGTCTCCATTATATACAGGGTTTCCCTTTTAATGGTTCTTAGCACGCGCGCGCGCGCGAACACACACACACACACACACACACACACGCACACATTACACACTCTAAAAACTATTCTAGCACCCGTAGCTTTTGATTTCTCCTGACCTACTAGTCTGGTTTCACAGTTTATTCATGTAATTGCTGTAATGCACATCAAAACAAATATTTATTCTCTGATTTTATTACATGTACCCTTTACCTACCATTCTGTCACAACCCACACAGTATTCACCAGGGGCTAATATACAGTAACCTCTTAGGTGCATAGGAAATAGATGGGGATGGTCTACACAAGTGTTGATTCCTGGTGCTGCCACTTCTGAAGCTCCAAATTGTATCTCTTGAACTCCCTTTGTGGCATTGGCCCTCAGGTGATGGGACAAGAAGAACAATAGGGTTCTTCATATGCCAGTCCCCTTTAAAGACAAGCACCCTCCAATAACACTGACTGATGTGTGGTTCCCCCCTTGGTCTTGTGATACCACTGTTTCATGACATAAAGCGGTACTGTGCAATTATGCTTAACCTCGCAGACTCCCTTCTTGTGTTTAGAATCACTAAGTCCATGAACTCCAGTAATAGTGGGGAAGAGGAATTCCCTTGCAATTGCCATGTTGGTTTTAAAATCTAGATTGGCAGAGTAGTCTTGCAAGCCTAGTATTGCAAGGGAATATCGGAGCCCACATGTATTTAAGGCATAGCCCACAGAGTATGCATTATCTGGTAAAACATGGCTCATATTGCCGCCGGGATTAACGAGACCTAAGTAATCAGTTGAGTGAGTGGTGGTCAGACGAGGTCAAGCTGCCAAAGGCCTGCATTAACAAGCATTCAAGTTTCAAAACATTCTGCAAGAGGTGTGTAACTCCGCCGATTTTGGCCAGGTCCTCCTCCTCTTTTCTAATATCTCCGCCTTCCCTTAGTCATGTGCGCGGCTGCCCTTCCCCCTCCTTCTCCTCCACACACACACTGGTAGAACTCCCAAGGTCCCCCTCCTTCTCCTCCACACACACACACACTGGTAGAACTCCCAAGATACACAACAAATTGTAGGAGTGAAAATACTAAGTTCATCTAATATAATGAGACAGACACCGAGTGGCACTTTTTCATTCGATTCATGAAGAAAAAAAAAGACTTCAGGATTTAAGTAAGGGTAGAATCAGAACCATTAGTGTTTGACAAGAAACCATCACAATATTTTAAAATAGCTTAGGCAGACTGGTGATAACATTTTTAATTGATAAACTGTTCCAGATGTTTTCTCCCTTGACTGAGAAGTGTCAGAATTGATGGATAACAAGTATGTAGAGATGCAGTGTTTTAAGGAGGGATGAGGAAACAGCTATATGTGGAAGTCACACTCTCAGTATATTTGTAAGTAGCAGATTAATAATTCCTAACGTTTATCTCTTCTGTGCACTCCTATTGAGATGGGCAGGAATAGGAATGTCAAATGCATTACTTAGTGCAAATAGACTTGAAAGTGAAGATGTTGTGGCGCTAACTGCTCATGTATGTTTTAAAATGCCTGAGTAAACATGTTATGTAAGGATGGATAACTAATTGTATCATTTGTCATTTGTTATCATCTAAAGTAAAAAAATATGTACACAACAATGTATATACAACTACCTCGCTAAATATTAGCTTTATGTTTCAGAAGAAAGAGTCAAAGCGAGGCTCCTTCCCAAAATATGTAACCGTAGCCAACTCTCGCTATGCAAAGCAGTAATAAAAATGTCCCATCTATAATTACGTATGTCCTACACTTTAAACTTATGATTACAAGTCATTGGCTAGTTACCTGTATTATGAGAATAGCGCTGTTTGGGTACTAACATGCTAACCGTTTTCTGGGTTTACTACATAACATAAAGATGATCGTTTTACAGAAGTAGTTAGCAATTGTTAAGCTTTTATGAATTGCAAAATTATGCGTCTTAACCTGGAAATTGCATTGGGGGTTTCTAATTCCACATATAGCGTGAATATTATAAAGTTGTCCATAGACAAGTTAATAGGAAGTCAATAATAAAAATGGCAGCAATGTGCAAATATATATTCATTTGTTTTATTTTAAAGTATTTCTATTAATGATCGAATACTATAGATGACGATTGAATTTTGTGATGACTTTATAGGAAGATATTTATAGATGTGGTTTTCTTTCGCAAAACTGACGCCCTATTTCCACTGTCTTTCTTCAGGATTTATTTTTAACTCACAATACTCGAATTTTAAAAATAACCAGAGGCTTCCTTCTGTCCTGAAGATCTAAGCTTTATTAAATCAATAAGGCCTCAATGCATACAGCCAGTAACCCTAGACTGTACATTCACCATTAACAATGTGAATCCTATAGCCAATGTATTTTCTTTTTCCTAAGGAGTATAAAAACAGGAGCGCACTTTATGTGTATCCAATGACTTTTCTTAAAATCGGGCTGTGATGATTAGCTTATACAATTATATAAGATTACAGAGAGGGAGAGAGGAGAGAAAGAGAGATTATTTCTTTTTTCTGAGTTAAAGACTCGGTTTCATCTCAAGGTAGTGATATTACTTCCGCAGCCATTAACAAAATAACTGTTAAAATCTGAATGTGTGGCGTGGGATTCATCCAAGAATCCCTTGAAAGATTTGGCATAAGGCTATAATACTCCTGGAACTAGCCAAAATGTGTATTTTTAGGAAGTAAGACGGTTGTGTCGCTCAACTACTATTTCTGAAGTAGAAAGACCAGTTATCTGTGCTGTCAACAAGTGTCAGAAATCTAAAGAGTTGCACAGTTCTGCTTCCCATGATGTGTTCTGTATGCAGAACTCGTCTCCGCTCATTGTCCTCCTTTCTGTGAGAGAAAAGGCCCTTGAAATGCTCGTACATGGGAAAGATTTGTGTGTGCTATAAATAAACAGGAGTCAAAGTGATGGGAAAAGCATCCTACCGAAGCAACGGAGCTTGAATCTGAGCATTTTCGGATCAATGAAAACTGGCTCCCACAAAGGATGCTACTCAAGGGAGAAAGAGAAGCAGCCACATGCTTCCCTTCTTCCTTCAGGAGATGGCTACTAGCGGGATCTGACGAACCGAAACAGGAGTGCAGCCCCACTCTTGATTCTAAACTTCAGACAGTGACCTGGCGTGGGGGAGATAGGGGGAGGGGAGATGGTGCAGGCTCAGGACTGTCTCCCTTCCTGCCCTCCCCCCGCGCTTTCTGTGGCTGGGGGCCGCGGGGTGGGGG